TGTTAAGTAAAAAAAAAAATATTTTTTTTGTAAAAATAAACTCTAAAAAAACACAAAAAGACACGAAAAAAATGCAGCTAAACGTTAATACAAAAATGCTAAAAAACGCTGATTAATGTGACTTTACACAGCTAAGGTTACCAGTGTTATAAAAACGCCCCGTGTGCATGGAGACTTTAAACCAGAGTTGCAAAGATAAGAAAAAAGATTACACTACTTTGCGACTTTTGTGATTTTAACATTACAGTCTATGGCACTCATGTCACACCAAGGACACAGAAAAGTAGTGCAGGAACTATATTATTTTTAGTTGCTGCAACTCGAGTTGCAGAAATTACACTATGACAGCACCCATTGAAATGAATGTTTTTTACTGGTCTTGTGATTTTCTGTGTCACAGATTGCAGCAAGTTGCAGCAGTATGAACCAGGGCTACCGTGGGAACTGAGGTCTAGTTACTGACAATGTTACTAGTGTGTCATCTGACACGGCAAGTCGACTTCTCCACTTTGATTTCAGGCTCAATAATACAGAGAAACAGTTTTTTGTTTTTTGTTTTTTTCTTCATACAGTTATGCAAAGATCCAATCGTAGCTGATCATTTGGTTCCCACACATGGAAGCCCCAAGTTAAAGTGAATCTGAACCTAAGAATAGAAATTTAGAAGGCCACCTTCGCCATTTGTACCATGCTACACTCGATTCATTCCCCCACAGCAGCAGTCAGCTTCAAAATTGGTGCTTCTGTCTGATCTGTAAATGAATAAACTACAAATCCTATCTGCCACTGCAGTAGGCGAACTTGTAAGCTCCCAATGGAACACATGTGTGGTCATCACCGCACTTGTAGGCCACTGACACTTCCTTCAGCTCTCCAACTGATAGTTCGTACCTCTAGAATTGGACATAGGACTGGAGGAAGAGTCTGCAGAAATTTGTACTTCAGCACAAACTATAAGATTATGGTACACACCAGCCTTTATCATCCATGGTTCCTCCAGAGGTTGCTAGGTGTTCCTTGAGCTGTGGTGAATTAATCTCCTTGCTGATGGCACACAATTCGTGATTCAACAATACGTGGGGAAGACAGTTTCTTGGGGAAGTAGCCACAGACACCATTGATACTTTAGCCGGGCATTTTTCCCACTGACTATCAAAGTAAGGCGCACTCTTCCAACTGATCCCCAATTTATTGGGACCCTTATCTCACTTACAACCAGTCTGTAGGAGCCCTTTAACGGTCAATGTAAAGGCACCCTTAAACCACTTAAGCGGAGCGCACACCTGAAAGGAAGACCAGGCACATATGGAAGCCACGGGACCTGCTGGAGCTGTGGCAGTGCAGCGCTGGAGGGCTGCGTTTGACAGGTAAGTCTGCCATAATATGCGAATATGAGGTACATACTAGAACATTATGGCGTATGCCTACAGGGGCCCATCTTAACAGAATTTGTTAATCAACTTTTGCTTTAACTCTAATGTAAGGGAGTCCTCCTACTGATCACCTATAAAAAGGGGTCTCTTTTCCCACTGAGCACCAATATATGGGTATCGTTCTCCCACTGACCATCAATGTATTGAGGGGCCTCATCTCATGGTCAACCAATATATAGGGACCTCATCCCACTGACAACCAATGTACAGGGGCCCTTCTCCCACTGACCACCAGTGTACATAGGACCTTCTCCTACTAAGCACTAATGTAAGGGGTCTCTTATAACATTGACAGTTTATGGTGGCCCCTCTCCCACTTATGACCAATGTAAAGAGGCCCTTCTGCTGACCACCAATATTTTGGGTCCTTCTCTCACTAACCACCAATGTAATCTGGAATTCCTCCACCACACTCTTTATTATTGTATTTCTTAATTATATCACAATAATGGTCTGTAGGTTGTATATACAATGATCTTTTGTACACAAAATTTTTTTTAAGTACAAAAATAGTTACAAAATCTTGCATCACAAGTACTGATGGACAGACCATCATTCATTCGGCAGAAGACTCAAACCGGATAGATACTGTATATCTGCACTCAAACATGCTAAATTGGGACATTGGCGTTACTGAGGACCAAGTAATCTGGGGTCATGACCTTAAAGGTCAAACGCTATCTAAACTGAGCTTTCAGCTCTGAGTAGTCACCCATGTGTCAAATCACTGGCCAGATTCTTCTCCAAGATTCCACTGGAGAGATCTCTCTGCAGCAATTCGGCCTTCACTTCTGTCCGAAAAAACCATAATGAAGAGATTGGGTCTCCTGCAACTGGATTCTCCATTCTGTCAATATATTTGGCATAATGAAGAGATAAACCAAAGTGAGATATTCATTTTTTGGATCTGGAAGGGCTGTGGCGGACAAGAGGAATGGAAAATACTGGAGGGGATGGGAGTTTCGGGTGGAGGAGTTCTCTCCAACAGTAAATTAGGAGTCCAAAAAAGCCCTTGTGGGTAAAAAAAATATTTCCTTTTAAAAAGCACTGTGCATGCAAATCTCTAACAGTCTGACCTATTTCATGAAAGTCCCATCAGGTGATGTCTTTGAGAGTAACTGTCACTAAGTGCTATGAAACAGACTATCTTTACGGCAATTGGTCCACAGGCCACTATCACACACAAACAGCTTCTGAAACACATTGGAGAGGCACTGTGATCACCCGCTTGTTAACATAAATTGGGTAACATCCACCCTCGTCAAGACCTGCCCCACCTTCTACCCCCTGCCCTAGATGACAGCGGCAGCCGAGTGGGAGAGAACACCCTGGCTGATAACTGCCTCTGCCCTGCTGTGTTAAGGCAGAACTGTGCAGAGGAGGCTGTGACCTAAAAGGGGACTGAGAATTAGGGGAGGCATGTTTGCTAGGGGTACTGTGATTTATAGTGTTATCAAAGGCAATTTTTTAAATTAAAATAAACATGTTCTACTCATCTGCCCTGTGCAGTTATGCACAGAGCAGCCCCGAAACGTCTCTTCTGGGATCCTCCATCGATGATCCTGGTTCCTCCTCTTCTACGTGTGACCCCATAGCAAATCACTTGCTATGGGGGCACACGTGTGTGCTCGCTCCTGTGTGTGTCTATGGAGCCCTGAGTAAGAGGGGGGGTGCTGTGATTGCAATGGTAACTGTGATGTAAGGGGGACTGTGCCTGCAAGAGGAATATGATTGCGTGGGGGCTGTGATATAAGAAGAGGGTTCTGTAACTGCAAAGGGGACTGTGATTTAAAGGAGGGGGCTGACTGTGGCTGCAAGGGGGATTGTTATGGGAAGGGGGGCTGCAATGTTAAAGGGGCTGTGATGTGAAGCAGATTTGAGAACATTCTGGGGTTGCTGTAAGAGGGCCACTGTGATGTAAAGGGAAGGTGGGTCTGTAATGTGAAGGGAGCGGTAGACACTGATGTAAAGGGTGGGCTATGATGTGAAAGGGGGGCTGAGAACACTGATGTAAAGGGGAGAACTGTGATATAATTGTGGGGCGGCACAGTGGCTTAGCGGTTAGCACATCTGCCTTGCAGTAAAAGGGTCATGGGTTTGATTCCCGACCATGGCGCCTCCTGCATGGAGTTTGCATGTTCTCCCTGTGCTTACTTAAATTTCCTCCAGGTGCTCCGGTTTCCTCCCACACTCCAAAGGCATGCTGGTAGGTTAATTGGATCCTGTCTAAAATTGGCCCTAGTATGTGTATGTATGAATGTGAGTTAGGGACCTTAGATTGTACGCCCCTTGAGGGTTAGGAACAGATGTGAATGTACAATATATATGTGTAAAGCGCTGCGTAAATTGACAGCGCTATATATGTACCTGAAATAAAAAAATATAAAAGGGGGGGGGGGGCTGTGATGTAAAGAGGGGACTGAGGACACGGATGTAAAAATGAAGTGTGTGTGTGTGTGTGTTGGGGGGGGGGGGGGGGGAGGGTGATGTAAAGGGAGACTTAGAACACAAATTTAGAAGGGGGGGGGCTGTGATGTGAAGGGAGACTTAGGACACAGATTTAGAAGCGGGGGGGGGGGGGGGGGGGGGGTTGTGATGTGAAAGGTAGGCTTTAGACACTGATGCACAGAGGGGAATGGGATGTAAAGGGGGGGCTGTGATGTGTTATTGAGATTTGGACCTCTGCCGAAAGAAAAGTTTACTGACTGTACCCCCTTGAATTTAAATTCAAGACCCCTGCATTGGTAGATATCCACCAATTTAGTAATTGTATTCATCACCCTTCAGCCCTAATGATACCCTATGAACAGGTGCAATGGAGAGTTTATTGATCAGCTCTAGCTGTCCCTTTAATCCGAAGATCACCGGTTGGTAATGAGCGGCAGCATGTCCCACCAGCCAGGATAATAAGACTGGCAAGGTAAGCTCCCAACAGATGGGGAGGCACAGCTTGTGTCCTTCCACTTCACCCAGCAGTCTCTGTGTGGGCAAACCATGTTTACAATGAATCTACAGTTTCCTCAATGTATACTTGTTAGATAAAAATGTGAAATGAGTTTGAGAATCATTGCTTCGGCATGCACCAATGCTATAAAAGCCTGGAAGGATAATTATATATGTACACGGATGAACTATACTGGCTCATTACACACACAGGCCCTGCCTTCTGGTTTCCAGTGCTACACAAATGTTGCCTTCTATCATTCCTCCGTCAGCTTAAAACAATGCTTTCCATGTGTGGATGATACCTTTTGCAACAGTTACAGTGTTACTAAACCCAGGACCCTGCATTCACTATATCTGGTCTCCCACAGTACACAGAAAATGGAAGTGCAATTATTTTAGTAAATATAAACTGCTAAATACCTTTTCCCATCAGAAGTTAGAGCAGTCTTGTGACTTCTATCAGTGTCCAAAAGAGCACTGGTTAAAGCTTGTAGGAGGAGTTTTCATTCTCCCCTGATTGTCCTATGAGGCCGCATAACCCCTGATCCTCTGTTTGGACAGTGCCGATTGGCCCTGTGCTGATCACATGCACTCTCCCAAGACAAAAAAAAACTAAAAAACTCTCTAGCCATACACACCAAACTGAGCATGTGCAGCTTGCCCCCAAGGTCCTGTTCTATCAGCAGACAGATTGGGGACAGTAGAAGAAGGGGAAGATCAGAGAAGACAGGATCAAACATGCTTTTTACACGAAGCGGAGGATTAACCCGTTAGGTTCCACAGTGAGTATAACAAGCATGCTTTACTGCATATATAGACTGATTTTACTGTTGAGGGTTTAGTAACACTTTGAAATATAAGAAAGGGCAACATTTTGTGGAAGGCTTGTATCCTCTGCCAAGTTTTAATGCCATCTGTGTTCCCAAAGGTAGATTAGGGCTGCACTCACCTGGGCACACATTCCTGAATACGGCCCTCAAACATAGGTATAGCGTCCCGTCACCATGTATTTCAGCCTGTCATAGGTTGTGCTGCTCCTGGGCATCCCAGGTGCCTGAAAACACCGGGAGTTGATGTTGCTGCAATGAGTTGGTGTGAAGCGGCCTCATAGCAGGGACTTTGCTTTGCCCAGTGCAATCCCACTGCACTTGGTATGAACAGACTCCCAAGTGGGTTTTCCATTGCCGGACAATGCAGGTCAAAAAAAAAAATAAAAAATCAGAAGAAAGTCAACTGCTGGAGAGATTCACCTGTCCTTGATTTCTGAATGATCTCAGAAGCATCTCAAATCAATGTTAAAACTGATGACAGACACAAGCCCAAAGCCTACTAACAAAAGGCTCTAAAGCACATCACTGCACTAGAATGTTTTATTAAAGTGGCTGTAAACCTAAAACATGCAACATGGACAAAGCATATCCATCTTCAGTGTGCAATTGTCTTATTAAGAGCACTAAGCCTCATTTCTGTCTGCTGCCCTGTTCCTCTGTTATCAGCATGAGACACTTCTGACAAGTTTTCCTGACACCAAGAGAAAAATGGTGACAGGGGAGGGTCCTCCAGCAGATTGAAAGCCTCAGCTCTGTTCCTGTGAGCTGTGTGGAGGGGGTGTGTGTCCCTTTCCTCCAATCAGCTCTCAGAGCTCTCCTCACTGAGCTCTGCAGTGTAACTACTGCTTCCCACCACCTTTTTTCTGAACTCTCAGACAAGCTTTACAAATTCAGTACTTTAAACAGATGAAGAGAAGGATTTGCAGATAAACAGATACAACTTATACAAGATCTCTGTGTATCACCTGAGGCCAATCACTTCACTTGGTATATTTAAGCGATTAAAACCACTTTAAGCTTCCATTTGAACATAGTAAGGCCCAGGGGGCCGACCTGCAGCTTGAGGGACACATGCGGCCCTTTGGTATAGGCCCTTGGACCTCAGTAATTTGTAGTAGGAACACTGATTAGGGTAACAGTACTGATCTCTACATGTAACATGCTCCCAGTTTCACATGGTCTTCTGCAGCATATCCCCAGCCAAAAATGTATCCTGCCCACACTGTCTGGCTCTCATTCTTTTAGGTCTGCAGGTTCTGACAGTCCTCTCAAGCATTACATACGACGTGCGACCCTTTGGTGATGTCAGGGGCCACATTTAGGGCCCGCTTTAGTAAACAAGCACAGCAGTAAGGCCATACCTCTTTCCTTTTAAATGGACCCCTAAAAGTCTGTTCACAGATCAATCACTGATCTCACACAAAGAATAATTATTTTAGATTTTTATTATGTTACTAAAATCAGACAAGTAACAGCAATCAAAACAAACAGCAAAAAAGTCCATCAAATTCCAATTCTCAGCATATAACACCAATCACAGAAAATCCCAATGCATTTGATCCTAGCCATGTTCTTTAGGCCGGGTCCCACTAAAATCTCTGCGTTTGGATACATTTCTGCATGTGTGTTTATGATGTGTTCCGGTGCATTTTTCTCCTCTTTTTTTCTTCATCTCAATTGAAGACCAGTGCATTCCTGTGCATTTTTGATGCGTTTTTTTCCGTGTTCCATACACACAAAAAAAGTTCCACTTTTGTTGACTGCACCGAAATTCACCGCTCTGGTGTTAAACACTGTCCATGCGTTTCTGATGCAGAATAAAAACGCACTGGACTGCATGTGGTCTGAACCAGCCCTTAGGGCACACTATCGGTCAAATGGAGAAAGGTGACAACCTCTGCAAAGTTGGTCTATGTCTCCTTATCTCGGTGACCACTGTTCCCTTTCATTTCTTCACCCAGTGTCACCATAGGAAAAAAAAAAAAAAAAAAAAAAAAAGCTTGTGTGTTTGTGGGGGTGGAGGAGGAAAATGGCTAGAATAAATGAATTGGTAGTTTACGTGTATACGATTCTATGCGCCATATGCCTGTAAACACACATGAACTGTTTTTTGGCTTTTTGGGGTTTTTTTTTTTTGTTTAGGCATGGTTCACACCAGTGCAGTTCCAGTGCGTTATGGTTCCAGAAAAAAAATAGAAAAAAGTAGAACATGCTGCATTTTTCCTGCACAGAACTGTACTGAAACGCAGTAAAATGCATATAAAAAAATGCACTGGACCACAAAAAGGAGAAATAAAAAAAAGCATCTGGAATGCATCAAAAACGAGCATGCAGAAATGCATGCAGACTGCGTTTCTTTGGTGTGAACCGGCCTTTACACTCAATTATAGTAGATAGGAGTATTTTAATACACCCAAATGCATAGAGCCTAAGGGCTGCGACTTGTCCTTCATGCTGAGCCTCTTTTTGCAGCATCTGCATCCACCTCGGAGCTGCACACAGGCTGCCCATAGATATGGATGCAGATGTAGTTGCATGTCAAAATCTGACACGCAGGCAGCAGCAGGTGCATGGGGATCCAAGCCGCACAGTGCCTGCTCTCAGATCCATGCACCATTCACCCCCATGTGTCAAATTTTGACAAACGGCTGTGGCCGTACAGCCGCTGCATCCACTTCTATGGGATGCCTGAACGAAGCTGCAAGGTGGATGCAGGCACAGCAGTCAGCATGGCGGACAGATCTCAGCGCCTGTCTGAATGAGTGCTAAGAATACATACAGTACTTTTTATTATTATTAAATTTATTATTATTTTTTTTTTTTTAGGGGTCGCTTTAATAAAACTAGAATAAATCGATTTCCGCCCAAAGCAGCACATATTTCCGTCCATAGACAGAGGATAGCAGCGACCCCCACACGGCGACATAACACACGTACGCACATTGTTCTTCTTCCAGGCGATTTCCAGAAGAGGTGACAACGAGGAGCGTGTTTTAACCAGATGTGGAGGAATGGGTGAATGTGAGGAGGCCTGGCCAGTGCAGACTTGAATGATCGCTAACAAAGGAGGTGAAGCTCTCCGGCAGAGGCGGCTCCTGGGCTGGCAGTGTAAACACACAGAGGAGCACACCATGTGTCTGCACAGAGGCAGGCATGTTCCAGCACGGCTCTGCACAAGGCCACCAACGGCTGCCTCATCCCACAAAATTTCCTCTGTGAGCTGGTCCTACGCAACATTATCAGAACATCAGATACACAAAAACCAGGGGGGGGGGGGGGTCACCCTGCTAAATTCTGGGGGCCCCGTGTCTCCTCACACTTTTTGACCACTTCAATACCGGGCACTTTCACCCCCATATCCTGCACAGGCCAATTTTCAGCTTTTAGAGCTGTCACACTTTGAATGACTATTGCACGGTCATGCAACACTGCGCCCAAATGACATTTTTATCTTTTTTTGAGACATCTAGAGCTTTCTTTTGGTGGTATTTAATCACCATAGGGTTTTTTTTTTTGCTAAACATACGAAAAGAGCAAAAACAAAAAAAATAAAAATTTTCTTTGTTTCTGTTATAAAATTTTTGCAAATTAATAATTTTTCTCTCTCACTGATGTGCGCTGATGAGGTTGCACTGGTGGACATGGAGGGATAGGCTGCACTGATGGGCACTGATGAAGAGGCACTGATAAAGTGGCATTGATGGGCACCAATAGGGGCACTGATGAGCACTGACATGCTGCACTGATAATGCTGAACAGATGGGCACAGATAAGGCAGAATTAATGGGCACCGATAGGCGGCACTGATGAGCACTGACAGGCTGCACTGATGATGCTGCACAGATGGGCACTGATGAGGCTGCACTGATAAGGCAGCATTAATGGGCACCGATAGGCGGCACTGATGAGCACTGACATGCTGCACTGATGATGCTGAACAGATGGGCACTGATCAGGCAGAATTAATGGGCATCGATAGGCGACACTGATGAGCACTGACATGCTGCACTGACAGGCTGCACTGATAAGGCAACATTAATGGGCATCGATAAGTCACTGATGAGCACTGACATGCTGCACTGATGATGCTGCACTGATTAGGCAACATTAATGGGCATCGACAGGCAACACTGATGAGCACAGACATGCTGCACTGATGATGCTGAACAGATGGGCACTGATCAGGCAGAATTAATGGGCATCGATAGGCGACACTGATGAGCACTGACATGCTGCACTGATGATGCTGAACAGATGGGCACTGATCAGGCAGAATTAATGGGCATCGATAGGCGACACTGATGAGCACTGACATGCTGCACTGACAGGCTGCACTGATAAGGCAACATTAATGGGCATCGATAAGTCACTGATGAGCACTGACATGCTGCACTGATGATGCTGCACTGATTAGGCAACATTAATTGGCATCGACAGGCAACACTGATGAGCACTGACATGCTGCACTGACAGGCTGCACTGATAAGGCAACATTAATGGGCACCGATAGGCAGCACTGATGAGCACAGGCAGCATGATGATGCTGCACAGATGGGCACTGATGAGGCTGCACTAATAAGGCAGCATTAATGGGTACCAATAGGCTGCACTAATGGGCACAGATACGCTGCACTGATCATCAGAAGACTGATGATCAGTGCTCTAAGTATCAGTGTAAATGTCAAACTACACTGAATTGGTGGAACAGTCATGCAGGAAATATTTACAAATCACGCTGCTGGAAATCGCACAGTGCCATAGAAATGCATTAGATGTGAGTTGAGCTGTGATTTGTAAATTGCATGTCGCACCTGAAGTCGCAGTGGTGTGAACTAGGACTTATCCAGAACTACGTCTACCTTGTACATTTGTACCTCTTTGTGCTTTTACAAAACAATAAAAGTGACTGAAACATAAAAAAGGCCCCTGTATGTCTGAAAACACTCAGTATTTTTTTAACAGTGTGCAAGACCTTTGTGTAAAGCTGGCCATAGGTGGGTGAAAAAAAATCA